TTCATGAATTTGCAGAAAATTACACAGTGGTGCATTTTTGACTTATTTCACTGAGAGAAAGCTTTTTTCGTCTTAGTCTTATTTTTGACTTCTTTCACTGAGATCAACACTGGAATTGTTCAAAACATTAAAATATACTGCTTCTCAGTACTTCTATGCTGTTTTAAAGATTATAAAGTTGAACTTTCAAGATTCTGTAGGAAATTACACATTGGAGGATTTTTGACTTAATTCACAGAGAGAAAAGCTTTTTTCGTGTTAGAAAATTTTATGTTGAAGAAACACTGAAATTTTTCAAACCACAAAAATATACTGCTTTCCAGTACTTCTATGCTGTTTCAAAGATTATAAAGCTGAACTTTCATGAATTTTCTGAAAATTACACAGTGGTGCATTTTTGACTTATTTCACTGAGAGAAAGCTTTTTTCGTCTTAGTTATATTTTTGACTTCTTTCACTGAGATCAACACTGGAATTGTTCAAAACATTAAAATATACTGCTTCTCAGTACTTCTATGCTGTTTCAAAGATTATAAAGCTGAACTTTCAAGATTCTGTAGAAAATTACACATTGGAGGATTTTTGACTTAATTCACAGAGAGAAAAGCTTTTTTCGTGTTAGAAAATTTTATGTTGAAGAAACACTGAAATTTTTCAAACCACAAAAATATACTGCTTTCCAGTACTTCTATGCTGTTTCAAAGTTTATAAAGCTGAACTTTCAAGATTTTGCTGAAAGTTACACATCAACTCTAACTAGCTTTACCGTCCCTTATGTGGACATTTATATCCACAATAGGATGCTGCCACCACCACCATGTTTAACCAGAGGTATGGTCAAAGATTGTTCAGGCTAATGTTGAGGTTTAGGTCTCCATCACTCCTGATATTATGCTCATTGTCCAAAATGAAGTTTTGATCTGACGCAAACCCATTGAACTGGTCTTATTTTTATGAATGACCTCTTAAGTTATTCTTCCTCTTGTGTAACACTCTTTCTGAATATGTTTTTTCGCTGTGTGTTTATTTTTCTCTTTGTGAGTGCAAACATCCAAACCCAGCAGCTGATCAAATCATGTCCCTTATCTCAAAAACCCATCTGGAGTGTTCCCACACTCAGAAACAATAAGTTTAGAATAAATATATTTTATTACTTTGCAAGGACAGTTCATGGTAAAGTTAAACAGTACTTGAACAGAAAAAGCATATGTTATTATACAAAGACAATATTTAATATGTAGGGCAGAACGTGTCGAAGCTCATGCCTTGTGGGTCACCCTGTAAGGAGGGGGCAGGGCTAATGGTTCCCTGCTCCCTGTGGACCTTGTGTACATGAAGATATGAGCGTCATGTCTCTGTCACAGAGACTTTGCAATGACGGTGGGCAGGTTCTCCACATCTGAACAGAAGAAGCTGACTGCAGACCCTTTGGGATATTTATCAAGATCAGCCTCAAGACTGACAAACACAGAGTTGCTGCCAAAGCTGCAGTATGTAATGGATAAACAATATGTTTTTTTTTCTTTTTTACATACTTGTTAAAACAATATTATGAGACAGATAATCTGTAAAAACAAACAAAAAAAAGTTGCCTCCTTCCTTTGGAGCTGCAACTGTCTGCTGAAATACACCACTCATTACTACTGAGCCTGATGTGAATGCTAGGCTAGTTAGCATAACCACCGATGGTGGCAGATAAACAAGTTGTTACTCCACCATTAGCACAGTCAGCGGTATGTACATAAATGTGATTGACAGTACAAATATATGCCTCCGAACTTTGGTTGTTACTGACAGTATTTCTGCAGATGGCAGTAGGAACTCAGGCAAGAGTCAGAGGAGCCTCATTTTTGTTGCTGATTGTCTCGACATGGAGACAGTTTTAACAAATATGTGAAAAACATATTGTTTCTACAAGTTACACAGTGCGGCTTTTTAGACTTTTACTGAAGCTCAGAGTCAGGACCACTGGATCTTGTGCAGTGCGAGGCCGACATGTGACTCACAAGGTTATCTCACCTCTCAGTAAGATGTTGTTCAGTGACAGACTTGACAGTCTATAGGTCCTGGAAAGATTGGATTAATGTTTCCAGGACCTATGTCATGTATATGACATCTTTTGGTCAGTGAGGCATTTGCTGGTCGTTCCTGTAGTGAGGTGGAGCCCCTCTGAGCCACCCAGGCAGTGGCAGCATCATAACTGCCGGCAGCAGGAACAGCCCACTGATGGCAGGATGCAGTGATTCCATGCAAGTTCACCTCGAGACAATAGAATATCATTAAAAAGATGGTTTATTTCATTGCTTCAGTTCCATTACACACAAAAAAACTGGTTGGATTTAAAACATTTAATTTGTATTAGAGATTAAGCTTTTCACTGACCTGAAAAGAATATACATTCACCCACATAGATAAAACACACATAAAGTTGTTTTCTATTCGTTTTTAATAATAGCAGCAATAAAAAAAAAAAGAACAAGAAGAAGAAAAAAAGATATGATAATTACATCAGACCAATAAAAAAGACTTTCTAATCCAGATCCAGTCTGGGCATAAAATACTGCGTCAGTGCAGTGTAGCATGGAGGAGATGTTCCTGTGTTTCTGCCGAAGTGTTCTGAGCCTTCAACTTATTGGTAATGATGGTTCTGCTGTCTCTCATCCCCCACCGACACCCCATGGCGTTCAGTTTGGGTCCATTTGGTAATACATGGTTACTAAAGCAGGTACTGGTACATTTGGCAGTCAGCAGTGGGATTGGTACCAGATCCTGCTGGAAAATCAACATCTCTATATTGTTTGTAGGCAGAGGCTAAGGGGCTGCTCTTTGACCTGATCAAGTCCAGTGGATCAGAACCAGCTAGATGACATGGAGTCCCAAACCGTCAATGACTCGGTCCTGGACTTCCAAAAGAAAAGCAGACTTTACCTTCAGCTAACAAGACACTAGTTCACTGAGCAACAGCCCAGTTCTTTTTACCATCAGATACTTCTACTGTCTCTGGCTCAGGAGTGTTTTAACAACGGGAATGTGGGAGATGTAGTCCATGTCTTAGATGTTTCTATGTGTGGTGCCTATGAGGCTCTGACTCCTGTTGCACTTCAAACTCTTCAACATTCTTTGTTTCACATTCCTTTCAAGCCTGCAGCCATTCATTTTACTTGAGCACCATATAGCGTACACCCATGATGGTGTAGGCTATTCTATTTTAAATTAAAAGACTCTTTTTTATTGGTCTTGTGTACTATACTAGTTCTGAAAACTGGATTTTGGGTTTTCATCATCAAAGTGAACAGAAACATACACTAGGGAATGTATGTGTAATGAATGTAATACAATCTTCCATATTTTAAAATTCAGTCACTGAAATAAATGATTATTTTAATGATATTCTGTTATTTTTGTGACCAGCCATCCTCAACACTTAAAAGTTTGAACGATCATCTATAGACTCACTTCTGAGGGGAAGATAAAGCAACTGTGTGTGGAGGAGATGTCTGATGTATGAAATCTGCTGACAAAGTCACACATCGACCACGCCTTGCAGAAGATAACCCTCTGACCTAACAGCTGTCAGCTGATTGGGTTGATTGTTTGACAACAGCCGTTTAACATCCAGAGGCAACAGTGCCACAAACAGAACACATTAGTGGTATTGAGTGTTGGTCCATTTGTCCCATTCATGTCGCACCTGCGCTCAGATCAGCTCACCGTGTTCCAGTCGCTTCCTTTCTTTCAGTGAGAGTTTGTGTTTCCAAGGACGAGTGAGCATCTTTTCTCACAGAGCTGCCGATTGGAATGCAAAGCACACAGCATTTATATAACATCTCTGCAGTGAGCTAGATAGTAGAGTCTTACAGTTACGGGAGTACAACATTCAGCAGAACAGAACGAGGAATCTAGATGGTGGAGTTGAGTCCTGAAGGAAGCAGCTACAGTCCCAATGCCTCAGGGCCGCTTGACACTTCAGGAGCAGCTGTGGACATTCTTCAGCTGTTAAAGTTTCCTAGCTATAGAAGATAAAAACTAGCCAAACGCAACGACCAGCACCTCTCCCTTCATCTCTCACCAGGAGAGAGAGAGAGAATTCCCTCTGTTCCAAAGACAAAAGTGTAAGTACTCCTCAACACTGCATATCATTCTTCTGACACTCCGTGCTATTATTCACATTCAAACAAGCAAAAAAGGAAAAAAAAAAAAATAATAATAATAAAAAATAAAAAAGCTGAAACTGCTCTGGCTTCCCTTATGATATGTATTTCTGAGCCGGGATGGATGGAATGGAGATGAATGTTTGTTTTGCGCCTTGGAGACCCAGAACCTGTCGCTGCCTTAGAGTCGACTCGCTTTGCAGATTCCCATCAAATACAAGATTGAGGTGGATGTATAGGGCAACAATAAAAAAACATTTTGATAGTTCAATTTGGATTTTAAATAACATAAAATTCAAGAGTATACCATCATCCAGGACTAAAAATGAAGCGGACCAAGTTAAAAGATTAGCTCAGATTTTCTGAAGTGGAGTTCTGTAGAGGTTCTGGCCAGCTTATAGAAAAAAAAACTTTCAGTATCTTAGTAATGATTACAGATGCTAGCTAAAGCTCTTAGCTAACTAGAGGCAGGAGAAAATGGTCAGATCTTTCCCTTCTCCATCCGCTGATGATTAACTGGCTGCATAAAGGTTGCTATGATTTTTCTTAAAACAAAGTAATCAAACTATTTGGAAGTACATCCAGTTTCACAAAATATAATCAAGAAGCAACTAAAGAAGAAAAAGCACATAATTAAATAGCCTGTTGGCTTGCTTCCACCACAACAGCAGATAGCCTGACTTAGCCATCTTTGTAACAATAGGAAAACAATAGGAAGGATATAAGAGCTTGGTTAAAATCAATAATTTCTTAGTATTGATGAAAATATTTTAGTTCCACTGGCAGATTTTTAAATTTATAACATGCTTCCAGTGGAACTAGAAATTTTTAGTTAATATTAAGGAATTATTGACTTAAAATAAGCTTACTGGTAAGTACATTTTGTCTAATGTGTTTAAAATATTTACTCTAGAAATATGGCAAAAATACTGGGTAAGATTTTGTAGTTTTGCAGAGTAGGGGACAGATCTACACATTGTAGGAGTTTCTTTACTTGTTTATGTGTCAAAATAACAATAATAAAAAAAAAAACATTAATACAAGGTTAAAACAGTAGAGCCCTGTTTGTAATTTTTTTCTGTAGAACAGAATTTCCAGTCATTTGTGGAGAATTTGGCTATACACAAAGTTTTTTGCAGAGCTTATCTTAAATATTCGAAAGAAAATACCTAGTTGCAACGCTGCTTGACACTCTATTGGCTGGAGTTTACAAAGCAGCCAATCCACGAGTGCCATTTATTTTTCTTGGCTCTGGTTGGCTGAACCCATCAGAGCAAAGATTAGGAAGATGGTGAATCCTATCTTCTGCTGGAGTGCTAAGACAGTTTCCATTATAGTGCATATTGAGTCATGCTTGGTTTATGAGCCAACAGTAATAAATATAACTGTTTATTTAATAAAAAAAAAAAACAGTTATGTTCAGTTGGGACGGTCATGGTCCTTAACCCCAACTAATTCCGGGGCCCCACTGTGTACAGTATCATAGATTGATTAAGCAAAAATAGGGATTATTATTGCTTTTCTGGTTTAAATTTTTATTACTATGAAACTGTGTTTGTTTTTTGTTTTGTTTTGTTTTTTTAACCAGCCTTCACAATATTACACCTCAGATGCTTATGATCATATCTGTATAACCACAGCATATGAAGTGTAATATTTAATACTTTGGATGGAGTAGCTTGTCAACAAATAAGCAATTTCCCTTTTTAGGATCAATCTGTTCTATTCTACCAGTTAGAATAGAACAGATGTGACAGGGGTGCTTTTAAGCACCCCTGTCAAGCTCTGTTTAGTTCTAAAACAAAGCTCTGCTTCACTGAAGCGTAGGCGCTAATACAACCATCAACATCAGGTGAGATATTTACTACCCATAGACTTTCAACATAACCCCACTTCCTGAAATCCAATCAATTTCTTTAACTCTAACTAGGTGAGACATGGTAGTGTGGAAGTTTCTTGTTAATTTTTTTGCAGCAAAGTCAATGTTTACGTTTTAGATCTTCAGTGGAAATTCAGCTTAAAACAAAACATTTTCTTCAGTAAAACAGACTTTAAAACGAGATCCAGTCACTTTATTATCAACTAAGAAGTGATTATAACTGTCTTCAAATAGAAAAATATTGCTTTTAGTAAATGTATTAAAAAATATCATCTGTGCTGAGATTGGAGTACCACATCAGAGTTGATGGACCCTGAGGCAGTGGAGGGTCTGGGTCCTTCAGGAAGATATAACAGTGTCTTTTCTCTTATGGTTCAGCTTCACATGTGACCTTGACTGTGAAGAAAGGCAGCTCTCCAGGAACATGTTTTAGCTTCAGAGAAACTTCCTAATGCCTCCATACCAGCTCAGCAGGATTCGCCTCCCAAAGGAAGCGTTTACTCAGCTGGCCGTCTGGAGGGGTCAGAGGTCATCTGGAATCTCCTTTTGCATTGTTAGATAAAGCTTACACAGTCAGGTCAGAAGAGCAAGGCAAACATTTGGAGCGGAGCTACAGATCCCACCCCACAGTGGGATGTGCTTTCTGCGTTAGCTACAATCATCCGGACCCATGAGGCCCGGAATTCCGGTGTTTAGTGTGTTTAAGGATTGCATTACCCCTGTGTTTCACTGGTTCAAACAAGACACTTTATGAGGGGGGAGGAAGGTGAGATTCAGAGCTCTGTTCATAAGGCCATAGCAGAGCTCTGATGCCGTCGATGGGAGCAGATACACACTCATTAGGCCGACTTCATTCTGGGAAATATAAACCAGCTGCAGACCGATATCAGAATTTAAGGACAAAAAATAGTTTGATCACTGAGGCAGAAACATTTACTATGAAGGCGGAACAGGGTTGGATCTGGCTGGAACAATTACCTAGATTAGGAATAGTCCTAAATCTCACCCGATTTGTTTGTTTTGGTATCTCATTTTTATAGATGAGATAGCTGAATCCTTCCAGATGAACATAGTTAAATCATTCAGCCTTGATATGAATCATGGATGCATCAGCTGGTAACCAGAACCAGATGATCTTCAGATTGAACGGCTATGGTGTGCCTGTTAGAAATCCATCCGTACTCCACATGATGTGGATGTTTTTACTTAGATAAGACTCAAAGATTGTCAGTTAGTTTCAGATTAAGTCAGAAGAATTGTATAAAGCTGCATAAACATGAAACAGTGCTCTCCAGGAAGAGATGTAGTGACTAGAAGTGAACTAATAAACCGGTCGATAAATCGGATAACTGGCAATCCGTTCAGCTACTGTCAGCCAAAGGGGTCACTTCTGCATGTTAGCGTTTAGCAGCACTCGCTCTACTCTTGACAACTTAGAAACTTTGTCTCTATATTTAGTGACTCTTCAGACAAAAATATTGGTAGCGATCAATATTGGAATCGGGAGGTGAGGATTTTGAAAGATAACTGCAATCAGTACAGCCGTAGTAGGATCAAGTCTGCAGTTCTATTAGGATCTAAGATAGAGCAAGACTTTCAGCAGACAAAAGGAAGGCTGAACAAAAGATTTGGCCTTTTTCTCTTCCAACCTGTTGTCAAGGAACATGTTGGGTCTGTGAATGTTGGTAGGATTTCAGAAAGTTTATGTCTGAGTTCCAGTGGCCTCACTTCTAATGCTAATCATGCTAGTTGCCTTAATTGCATTTTCCTGATGCTAAAGATAAGTGCCTCAACTGCTGCACTAGCAATTGCAATTGTTCCTATTATATTTCTCAGACAGAGTTTGGAATTGTTAGCATCCTTTTTCAACAGGTCAAAACTTTACAAAAAAATAGATTTTGGTTTTCTGCGAAGTCAGTAACAAAACATAAAGTGCAAGAGTTGTGTCAGATTGTGATGAATTTGACAGACAGTTTTAGTCTCTTGTCTTGGTTGTATTTCTGGGCAGGCAGCCTCTATGTGTGCGTGTGGGTGTGCACACGTGTGCGTGCGTATAGGTGGGTGCGTGCGTGTGTGTGTGTGAATCTGCTCGCTCAGGTCTGACGGTCCGATGAGTGTGTATCAAAGCCTTTGCTGTTTGCTTCCCTCCCTGAGGATATAGCTGAACGGACTCAGCTGCAGGTATGGAGGGAAGCGCTGCATTCTGCTGGTGTGGATGCACACTCATCCATGAACAACACACATGTCATGTAAGACTAAAGAGCAGTTTTGAATATACAAACAGATGGAAAATGTCTGACTTCAGTCATATCTATGTGCAATAACATTCTAGATAATTTTTTTTTGAAAAAAATAACTTAAAATGAGTTCTGCTTTAAACCTTGAAAATAATCAACATGATGGACAAGCACCACAAAACTCTCCTATAAACAGAGGCCTGACCATACCATGGTATGTACAGTGTGTGTATGTCAGCAGTACCACTGATGGACAGAGATGACGGAGAAACACAGAAAGAGAAATCGTTATCAAACTCCCATCATGCAGATACAAATTTACATAGGAGACCTGAGGAGTATCATCTGTGGTTTTTGGGGAGGCCCCCAAGGGCCCTCCTCCTGAGTCCTGACCCCAAACTACAGCTCCACTCACAGCCAAACGCAGAGCACTCAACCTTTGAGGCCTCCGTGTTTTCTTTTTGAGGAGAAAACATTTTTGAGTAAAATGGAGAGAAAAATAGAAGGATTTACAGTTAATGTTACACCAAGCAAAAGAGAAGGAATAGGTTATAGAGGGTCAGCGCCTTGTCGGCTGATTTTTTTGTGCAAAGGAATGTCTGAACGAGTTAAAGAGACACCTTGTGCCTCCTAGGGCTCGGTGCTAGGCCGGGGGGGCGTGGCCTCGTCGGGGTCCAAGGACTCTGGCGACTCGTTGTCCTTGGTGCTGGGACTGGCCTCGGCCTTGGTGGACGCGCTGCTGCTGCTGCTGATCTGACCGTCCTGTCCCTCTGAGTTTTCCAGCATTTCTTGGATGAGAGGAGGCATGGAACCTGGAATCTCCATCTTCAGAGAGATGACTCTCTCGGCTCCTGGAGGACAGCAAGAACAAGACCACTTTAAGACTTTAAACACCAGTTCAGCTAAACAGAGTTTACGATTTAGTGGCTGAACTACATTGACAAACTGTGGAAGAACCATAGTGCTGGTTCTGTTGGACCTCAGTATTGATCATGACACATTACTAAAACCACTGGAGAGTTGGGCCATACTCTCCGGTCCAGACCTCAGCTGGTTTGAGTCTTAGATACAGAACAGAGATGTCTTTGTTTCAACAGGAAACGTCTCATTGAAGTCACACGTGAGATACCCCAAGGTTCAATCTAAATATCAATATGCTCCCACTGGGTCGGGTTATAACAGGAAACAAGATTAGCTTTCATATTAGAACATATGTGGATGTGCCAAAACTTTCTCCAGCTGAACAGAAACAAAACTGAAGTTATGTGCAATGAAGAGAAATGATAGAGTCAATACTCAGCTTCAGTTTTACAGATAGAAACTAGAAATCAGGCTGACCTGAACTTTCAGAAACACATGAAGACAGTTACAAAGTCTGCCTTCTATCACCTGAAGAAGATTTCCTTGACAAAATGCAATTTCAGTTACTGGTTTTCACAATTATTGACTACATCATGCGTTTATGTTTTTATGTTTTAATGATGAAAAACTGTTTTAACTGTTGATGTTGATGAATCGTGCAATGCAAATAAAGTTGATTGATTGGTACATTAAGTTTGAGCTCTTACAGTTGGATGTGAATCCAAACATGTCGACTTCTACAGACTCTTACTGGACTCCTAATCATCTCTGCTGCATTTCTCGGCCCGATCCTCTCACCGTCCACCAGATATCGATGGCCTTCCTACCTTTAGCGCTGATGCTGCGCAGGTCCGTGATCTTCATAAGGGTTTTGGGAAACATGTGTGGCTTGCTCGGTCGGCGTTTCCTCACATAGATCTTCAGAGCCTCCAGAAGTGGCTCCTGGAGCTGATCCACCTTGGAGGGCTCCTCCAGATCTTGACGGTCTGATACACACACAACACACACACACGGTCAGCCTGTAAGACAGGTTAAAGTCTACTATATGATGAAAAGAGATTTTTATCATGCTAATCATTGTGGTAATTTATAGTACAGAAGGGATCTGATTAACCATCAGAATGATTTTCAACATTTATTTTTCAATAGAAATGGAAATTGTTTTTCCCAAAAGTTTCCACAAAAGGTTTTTCCAACTGTTACCGCTGCCAAAATGAAGTAATGTGAAGTGATATGAATGTCTGACTTCTGGAGGAATCGAGCTTTACAATAATATATAAACAAAAAACATAAAACAGTCCTAAAATCTTTCACCTGGTGGCTCTGTGGTCATTCTGTTGCACTAAAGAGGTCCTGTTGGGTTCCACTATTTTAGTGACGTGTAAGATCTATTTTTCCATCCTTACGACAGACTGGACCTAAGCTGTACCTCAGTTGGACAGGAGGTGGCAGTGTGTACTTTGCAATTTGAAAGTGTTGGACCCACTGTCAGGCAGTGCAGTGAGAGGTGTGGTTTACTTTTCATGGATTATGCAAGAGCCTGTAATATTTTCCCAGGCCTGAGTAAAAGTGCGCCAAGCGGAGTGAGCCCAGCAGAGAGGAAGACTGATCTCCTAACAAACTGACAGGCAGGAGGAACAGACAGAGGAATAATGAGACACAAATGTGTTCTTCAGAGCACATTTGTGCAGTAAACCCTTTACTGCATCAAATCAAAACTCTCCAGTGAAACTTTATGTGACTGAAAGAGAAGGACTTCAACTTCAACATAAAGGCCTTTGCATCCTGACATGATGGAGGGACTCGTGCTCTTGTTTTTCTCCACAGACTTCTCTCCTGCAGTCAGCTGACTGATGCACCTGTCTCATACTTGCTCATCCTCTCCACCTCCCCTCTCCTCCAAGTAACAGCAGCTGAGTTCTAGTTCACTCTATTCAAAGCCTAGCTGCAGCTTGACTCTGTAGTAAATGGGGGAATCAATAGAGGCTTCCTCTGAGTTAAATAAAGGGCAGTCCAGCACTTTGAATTGGCGGTGAATTAGCTCATTCTTTCAAGATTTACTTATTTTTCACAAATCAGGCTTTTGTTAATGACATGGTTTAATCAGGCTCTAGACTGTTTGCAGTTTGTCAGACTGAACTAAATTAATAAATTAATGCCCCCTGTTCCTCCACCTTCCCCCACCCCAGCAGCTGAGAGTCTGATTTGAACGTAAATTTGAAAGACATTTCCCACCAGACTGGTTCCACTGTTACAAATCTTCCAACAGTCACAGATAAGTGGTAAGTTTCTACTCAGGATTAATTGTTGATTAATGTTTTATTTGAGCAAAGTGTGCTCCATTGGATTAACTAAGAAGGTCCACAAGAAGAGAGTGCCGCTGATCATCCTTATGTTGTTTCAGTGGATGCAGAAACAAAGATGGCACGAGATCCCAGAACGGTAAAGTAATATAGTCTAAGCAGACCCTGGTGTAGGATTGAAAACATTCTTTATGCCATTCTGTTTTAAAATGTACACACTTGACAAGCTCCTTAAGTGTCACCTTAGTAACACTCACTCAGTTGAGCTGTATGGAGGACTGCTTCTCAGCAAAAAATTATTGAGACGAGGATGTAATGACAGAAAAGTGGAAAATTAGAATGCATTGGAAAAGAAACCTGATGACAATAAGCATGGCTGATTTTGAGTTCTATTGGCTGTGAGTTATTGAGCAAAGTTGTAACATTCCTTCTAGAGTAACAATGACAACCAATGAGAAGAAATCTGAACTGGAACCAAGTCTAACAGCACAAAGCGTGGCTCTGACTTCTGACTGCAGCCTGACCTGACAGCAGAGAGCTGGATCAGGATGGACAGCACAGGCTGACATCCAAATCATCATGTTCCATGGATTTTATTATTTTTTTTTTTTAGCAACCTGAGAGGTTCCAATAAATTTATTTATAAATAAGTCTGAGTTTTATATCTGATAAAGCCACACTTTTCTATTTATTCAGTCAGTTTTTAATACAGCTGATACAAAAGAAATTATAGAACAATAATTTATTTTTCAAAAGTTAGCATTTTATATAAAGTGCATCCCTTCGAGTTCTGGAAAGACAGTTGACCCTCCTGATACATCAGAACTCAGGGTTTCAAGAAAATTTCTGATTTTCAGTTAATTGCTAGTCAATTGATAAGATCAATCAATTTTAAATTAAGTCATTAATAACATGCATACCTACTTTTAAAGGCCCACTCACTCACAAGACACTTCAAAGTGTTTTATAGGAAGAACAAATTAACAGAGAAAAAAGATTGATTCATCAAGAAATGGTTAAAACCTGAAACATGCTCACCTAAAGGAAACACCTTAAAATGACAAGATTTCAGGAAGCAAAAAAGCTACAACTGAACAGATCTGACAAGACTGTGTTTCTGATTAAACTGGTTTAAAGGAAGGAATGGTTTGCTCTAGAGCTGCTAAGCCCAGGAACCAAATGGAGCCTTGTCTTTAGTTCTGATTCTGGGATCAGGGAGTGAAAACATGTCTGATCTCCCAATTCTCCATGGCTAAGACTTAACCAGCAACACCAGTCCGGGAACCAGTTTCGTGGTGTTGGTCAGAACTTTAGCCACAGCATTTATTAAACCCTTTACTGCATCAAATCAAAACTAGAGAGGTTTGGTAAGAGGCATTGACTTCCGGACTACAAACCTCCTGAGATGAGACAGATGGCGCTGAGAAGACCCGTCTCTGTGTCGTCCATCTCAATGGGCAGCAGTTGGTTGGCAAAGGTGAACACCAAGTCGGTGAGAGGGCCGAAGCCAGCGTTGTGCATCTGTGTCCGATTTAGGGTCAGTCCGTCTGAAAAGGTCATGGTGTCCTGGTCAGGAGTGTACCGTGTGCAGATACGCAGGATCTGAGAGCAAAGGAAGGGAGGGGCAAGGAAATGGTCATAACAACCTCAATAAACAGGAAACTGAACATTACATATTCATATAAAGAGATAATAATTACATCACATCAGTGGATCATTGACTCTTGACATGTTGCTGCAATAAAATTAATCAAAATAGGAAGAACAAGAGGTTATTGATAAAGCAGCTGGCTGCATCTAAATATAGCAATGGAAAGTTTAGGGGAGGAAAATCATGTAGTAGGAAAAACTGAATACTTTCTGCACCTGAGCTGGAAAGTGTTTCAGTTAGCCTTCAGTTAGCTCGCACAAATATGAAGCAGGTTCAGTTGTTTTTATTGATTTCTGTGCTTTTAAGCATAGAAGAACATTTATAGGAATATATAATAAATTAATAAAATAGCATATTACATTAGCAGCATACCCACAGGGTGGCACCCCCCACACACACTTTCCTTGGAAAGGAAAAGCAGAAGACAGCACTCCCCTAACTCCCATATGCAACCAATAATGTCCTCATATAGCATGTAGCACAGCCTGGTGCTAGCTGCTTTAACAACCAAAAAATCTCAAAGAAGCAAAACAGTGACCTTCCACTAACCCCTGCAGAATTACCTTGCTCTGAATGTGTGTATGTGCATGTGTGTGTACGCCTAATAATGCAGCTAATTGTGAGCATGGAGCCTTTGAAGCAGTTTGAGTGGGCTGCCTCTGACAGTGAGTGGCAGACGTGTCTGCAACATGAAACAGAATAAAACATGGCTGCTGGCGGTGGCTCTCACCGGCTGGCCAGGACTGCTCCCAGACACACTCTAGCTCTGTCCCACACATATACATCCATACACGTTGCGTTTGATCTCTCCTCTGATATACCCCTCACCCAGCACAATGGCTGCGTCCTTCACCATGGAAATGTGCTGCTGAACAGATAATGATGGCTGAGCGACAGCCAGAAAGCCATCACAGTCGGCCTTCAACTTCTCAACCCAGTTCTTCCCTCCACCACTGCTTGTCTCATCAGTCAGTAGGACCAGGTCAGTGTTAGATCGCAGATCGTCCGTCAACATGCCACTGCCTGGACGACAATACCAGGTCAATAAAAATTCATTTTGAGAATAATGCATGTGCTGCCAGTTTATCCAGACTGTTTGCATTTCCAGTTATTATTAGTGAATATCTTTGTGAATAATTTATAGATTTTATTGTCAGCCATTTCACAGCTCTCTTACAGCAGTCTGAAGGAGACTGGGTTGACATCCTTTCAAAACACGCATGCGGTGTTATTTACAGTTCTTTTCAGACATTTGATGCATTTTGCTGAGCTGAAGTTCAATTCCATAACTGTTAGTTCAACCTTCACAACATTTACTCCTCTGTGCTCATCACTGTAGCAGCTTCTCATTTATTCTAAGAAATTTCCAGAGCTTTCACACATCTGTATTGTCTCTGTACACTTCTCTTCTGTAAATCCTATGAAACTAATTCATTATTACTAATACATCATTACATTACTTTAGTTCTCACAAATAAAAAAATAGGTAATAGGTGTCTTCTGATATTTTAAATCAAGTAAAAATGGCTGTACAATAACAGTTACTGTCTATTTCTGAGCGGATAACCATCTGGTTCTTCATTCGCTACCCACAGCACAGATGCAGTGAAAATATGAAGCATCATATTCACTGTTTTGTGAATAACTTGTGATACTACAGATTTCAAATGGCTGTGCATTTGCTTATATGTCATAAGCATTTGTAGGTGTTGTCATCGATATAAACTTTTTTTTACTTAGACATAAAGAGAGTGAACTGTCAAAATGAAAACATGTTCAGGCTGTCTGGGTCACAAACATTCTGTCAGAACTTTGCATTTTGCTGAAACTTTCATTAACATGAAAACTTTTTCTTTTGAGGAATGAATTATTCATTCTGAGGATGTGACTCACTTTCATCACCTGTTGTGCAAATGTTCAGATTGTTGTGAGAATGTACCACAATGCTTGAAAAAGACGTCAGTACAGAGACTCACAAAACTATCCTTAGTTTTTTCACATTTTGTCATTTTACAACCTTCTGTGATATTTTTGGGATAGTATGTGACAGAGCAACAAATAAAAATCTGAAAATTACAACCTACTAAAAAAATCTAGTATAACCATTTCAGAGTCACATAAACAGTAAATAAATTCTGCTGAATGCAGCTGAAGGATGAGACCATAATCTCAGACCTTTTGTGAACCAGTCACTCCTGTCGGCCAACCAGTTGTCTGCCTTTTCTTTCCTCTTCATCTCTGTTCTCCTCTCTCTTTGCTATAAGATTCATAGTGAAACATTCACATGAAACACCTAAGTGCACCTTGGATACATGATGTGGCATATTATATTTTAACCTTCGTCTCTGAACCAGAGGCCTCCACTATCCTCAAAAATCAGGGAGCGGAGACTTAAAACCAACAGACGTCTGAGGCCAGGAGTTTTTATTATTTCTTTCAACGTTTTTTGCAGGCTTTTATCTTGAAAAGGGGGACATTCTTTTTTAAAAGCAATGTTTAGTTTATACATTTAAACCGCATAATGCACTTCCCCACATCACAGGAAGCAGTGTTCAAAAGGTCGGATACTATTTCATCTGCAGCCTCATCTGTTTCTGAGCTTCTGAAAGTGTCACTTTGAAACCTTAAGCATTTCTTTTTTCAACAAGTCTCACCAACATTTGCATTTCGCTTTGAACAGAAGCAAAACTAAATATATTATCATATGGCAGACATACGACAATAATGGAAGAAACCTTTTAATGGAAGAAACCTCTTTTAATGGAAGAAACCCAGTTTCACTCTGAAATGTCCAACTTTATTTAGGTACATTTATTAAATTCCATGCTAAGAAATATTTCAGTAGATGTTAATATCACTGCTCTACTCATGCACATGCGATAAGAACCTGGGACAGCAAAAAACGATGATGCTAATTAATGTAGACCTACTGTACATGTTCATGATATAAATATTTGTGACATGACTGACGAAAGAACTTAAAGCGATAATAAAATGTCAGTGTATAAACACTCCTTACACATTATGTTGTGAAGATGACAACATAATGCATTTTATGTCCAGATCCAAAACAATAAAAATTACCTTGTTTTTAAAAATAGAATAGAGCCCTAGAGGTAAAAAAATGTAAACCGCATAACCAACCTGTCATCAGTGTTTCTACCTTCTCCCTCCTCCCCCCTGTCTGTGCAGTGAATGTTAAATACCCCATCACCCCCACTAACCATCCCCCGTCCCCCTCCCACTCCAGTATGCATGACAGAAACAAGAGGGGAAGAGAATCAGCCATTTGCCGTTTTCCATCTCATTATTGCAGGTCCATTACTACAGCATGTCACTTCACTTAACAGCTAAATGACAAACAATCACCCAGCAGCCTGCAGACATTTCCGCATCTGTGCTCAATAAAGAACACACTATCATTAACAAACCCAGCCACTGACTGGTCATCAGTGACAATACAAGAAGCACGCACACACACCCACTCAGTTCAGACAGAGAAAATGTTTACTACAGACATCTACTCTCCATGAAGTTTTGAATTGACAGATGTGGTGAGTAATCGGACTTGTCTGACTCCGACTAGTCAGCCCAGACAAACTCAGCTCCTTCAGGATGGCCTGATGGGAGCTGAGTTGGATGATAAATGGCGTTTCCTCTGGAGAGCTGAGCAATTAACTCAGAATGATATTTGAAGAAATGAAAAGATTGTGTCAAATTGAGGGGGGGAACAAGAACCAAAATCATTTCAGTTAAGTTCAGTCAGACAGAGGCAGATCCCCGCAAAGGTCACTGTTATGAAGATCTTCATTACTTGAATGAAAACACTTTAAATGTGTGGTGAATGATAAAAGAGATTGAAGTATTTTATTGTTTGTGTGTTTTTATGCAGTGGCATCTCAGCTGGAACTGATGGTGTCCTGTTAAAATAAAACAAACAAATGGATGGAAGTATTGTAACTGTTGAAATGCATTGAAATGTTTGTATAGATGTGGCTTACCTCTGTCTCTTCCTCTGCAGGGTGTTCAGGCTAAGACTCCCCAGGGGCCTGAGCACCTTATAAAAGTTCCGGAAGAGACCAAATGCAGATGGAAGAGGGGGAGCAAAGCACTGTATATTTTAGAAGTTTAATGATTGGATTTATATTTATAGAAAGGTATTTTTAGAAATGAAATGGCTTCTTAAAAATGACGAGTGTTTAATATTATGTGGAAGATTTGGTTGTTTTATCAAGTTTGTTTGTGTATATGCATTTTGTCTTACCCTGTTCTTGGCGGGTTTGTTAATTGGAGCAGCCATGGACTATAAGAGCCTGCATGTTTGCCACATTGCAGGTTAGTAGGTGTGGTTGCTGCTGAGACCCATCGCTGTCGTAAGCAGGAATGTCTATATGTTAAATGTTGGAGATTAAACACCTGGGAGGTCTGCACTATTTCTCTGCCTCAAGAGTCCTCTTTAAACCTGCCACTAAGGGCCATTCTAACAGTCACCTCAGGGCATCTAAAACCAGAGCCATCTAATTTAAATCCCATTGCTCACAAAGTAACTCAATCCGATTCTATACAGTCCAATTCATTGCAGAGCAATCCTCTGTGAAGTGCAGTTCAAACTTCCTAATGTTGTACTAATAATTATTAAGTTTATCTTGTTTAGTTATGAAAATTAAAAAAAAAAAATGTTTTCAAAGTGACATTTGAGGGATGTCCACTTTTCCAGATTGGCTGCATCATTAAAAGCTATTTGGGATTTTTGTCAGTCTGTTCCAATCAGGAAACTCAGAAAGATGAAGAAAAGAATGAGGGCAGTGAAAAAATGACTTTCTAACGGTAAAGCAAACTGTTGTCTAATTTAATAAAGCAATCAGACAAATGGTGCATCCAGAATAGTTTTTTTGTTGAGAAGTATTGACCGTCGCTAGTTAACTAGCTTAGGCTCCCATTTACATGGAGCCGCTCTTCAGCTGAACAGTAACATCTTAGTTGAGACCCAGTATACACCAGTTTACACCAGTGATTGCATTCTCTCACATCAGCATTTTTAAATCAGGTCTGAGTGAAACTTTTCTGTAAAACCTGCCATGGAGATGTGAAGCACTCTGCAGGTGTGACCCTACACACAGCCGTGGGGTTTATTCTACACATCGTGAATCACAGTGCTGTGTTGTGCTTACTGAATCTGTTCAGTTTCTGATGAGGAATATGTTACATGAGCACTTGGTTCCTGGGAGACAGAAATGGGTTACAGTTTACTGTGAGGTGGAAGCTGAGAGTCAGAAGTGCATGTTCATTGAATGACATGCTAAAATCACAGCGCCATATAGTGGTCTGGCATAACAACTACAGCAGATGCATGGTGACAATGTGTAAAATTTGAACTTTTTCTCAATTAGCATATGAAAATACGAGCAGTTTCCAGGCACTCTAGTATAAACAAAACTGTAGAGTCTCAATTTCAAAAACCGTGATTAGATTCCAGATATAAGATTCAGAGCCGAAAAACCAGCAGAAAAGTCCTACAAAATATCACAGCAGTTCATGTAAATGCTCTTTTTTTTATCAACAAACAACTTTGTATTTGGTTTTTCATGTTTATCTACACTGAAAACCTTGCCTGTCAATAACCCACCACCTGAAAGTTCGAGTCCAGATGGTGGCGCGGTCCTACTGTTGTTCTTGCAGGAAGAAGGTTGTAGATTTGAATCCAGGAGAGAACCCATGCATGAAAAAAGACCATAGGCTTATGGCACTCCAGCTTCCTCCCACACTCCATAAACATGACTGTTAGATTAACTGGTCTCTCTAAGTAATGAGCATGGACGTTTGTCCTGTGTGTCTCTGTGTTGATGGACCGGTGACCTGTCCAGGGTGGAACCCGCCTCTTGCCCAATGACAGCTAGAGATTAAAACCAACCCCCACAATCCTACAAGGACAAGCAAGTATAGACGATGGATGTCTGGCCTGCTCTCATCAGTTGTTAGATTAATCAAATGGAAGTTGCTAGGGGTGATCTACTGCAGGAACCATATTTATTGGTCATAACCTTAACATAGAACCCAACTTCAAAAATCTGACCTGTCCCTTTGCACCAAAAAAAAAAAAAAAAAAGAATAATATTATGCAAAAATTTTACTGTTAGTTGCCCATTTGTGTATACATATGTTCAATTCCATTGGGATTAAAATGCTAATATTGACCAAAGCACACTTTGATCACTTTCAGCATCAGAAGAGCTACTGATAATAATGATAAACCAGCATGTTTCTTTCAGAATGAAAGTAGAAACACACACCAGTATGTCCAGGCAGGCAGCTTTCAGAAGTGTGATCTGATCAGCGATGGTCAGCCCTGTAAAGCCAGGCACTCGTTTGGCAAACTCAACGATCTTGATAATGCACTTGGTGGCCAGCTCACTGAACTTGTCCCACAGGCCCAGGTCCAGCCTCACACGGTGATCTGCACTCGAGTTCTGCAACATACAAACACAGGGAGACAGCTCACGATCTGCTCACTGCACCCTCCTGGCTCTGTTCCACATCATAGTAATATGCCCATTGAAGAAATCCGAGCTCTCAGAAACACTGAACCGGGTGGTGGCACCCTGCAGTAATGAGGGTAACAGTGTCAGTGAGCAGGGGTGGGATGCAGTATGATAGGGGTTAAGTGAGAGCCACATTAGGGCTGTATTAAATCACAGACAATGAGTTGCAGTCGACACAACAGTGCATTCCACTGATTGACGTCCGGTTTGATGGGAAGGGAGGAGGTGCACATGCGATGTGGGTAACAGAGTGTTTGTTTCTCAATGGACAGGGTGAATAATGTGACAGTGTGTCAGATATTAAAGCAACTTATCTTGTTGTGCCCTCTGGCTGATGAGGGAAAGCACAATAAAAAACAGGGCCGAGCCAGGCGTAACGAGGTGTTACTGTTAGGCTTTTTTTTTAAAAGAAAACCTGCTCCAACTTTCTTCCCCCCACCCAGCAATCTCAGTCAATTACACCAGTCCCATAATTCAATAGAGGGAAACAAGGACGTTACCAGGGAATCCTAATTTCATTTAAGTTCATTTCTCCAAACAAATTAGACAAGTTGCTGCATTAAAAAAAGCCTGGCAGTGTAGAAACGAGCACCAAGAGGCACATCAGCAGGCTCCAGTGCACACATGCAGCCCTGTAACACATGCAGCTGTGCAGGCCGCCGCCACCTGAGATGGATGGAGACAGTGGACAAAGCGTAATGTGGCTAATATCTGCAGGCCAAGGCGTGTTCTGCAGCGACGGCCTCCCGCTCGGCCTCCTCGCTGACGACTAATGCTTTAGTTTGTCTTTGAAAGTGCCAGGCTCGTTTTTCATCATCATCACTGTCAGCGGAGGGTTATTCATTGTGTAGCTATCTCTGCTAACCCGCCAGTGAACTCCTAAATCACCACAGACGAGGATTTGAATATTTCACCACATAATTGGAGCTTTAACTAATCTACGAAAAGCCGGAGCTCCTCCTCTGTTTCTGTTGAGAAGTCAAAAGCTGCATCAGGATCCAATCCCTTGAAATAATGAGGAACTCCTCGACGCCTGAGAGCAACCATAATTACCACTGATCCAGATTACAGCTTTATCGGAGGCCCGACTGTCGACTCCAATAAACAACAAACACCAGCTTATGCATCATCATTGGGAAACAATATTTTTTGGGAAACAATTATTGTTTGACTATTTTCAGCCTGGGAGTTTAGCTCAATACAGGCTGTTTATGTGGCTAAATGGAAGAAACGTCTCACGAGAGATGGATGAGGGTGGAGCAAAGAAGGGTTTCAGCGATTAGTGTTTGCACTGAGAAGGGGGAAATACGTGGTTATGAAGATGGAAGCTGACTCTCGCTGAGACGACATGCAGCTGCGCGCAGCAGAGAGCTAAAAGCTGCTGACTGCTCTACTTTAGCATCACTTCCACCGCTCTGCTGTGAACCCTATTGTCACTGACTGAATGGATCTCATCACTGTAATAAGAGACACATTATTGTTCATTAGGGCCTCTGTTGCGTTTGATTATTTTCATATAAACATGTTTAGGGTGGGGTTAGTAGGCCAACCCCACCCTAATGACTGACAGATGTGTGAGATTTCTCGCAAACTAACATCACCAAATCTGTCCCCAGACGCCCCCCAGCCATCCCACCGCAGAGCGAGGTGCCAATCATGGTTCACAGCCGTCAGCTGTAATCATATGTAAGTCGGCTGGAAAACAAGCATATTAAACTGTCAGTTCCATCTCAATGCTGTTGCATCTGCGTCTCAGTCAGCAGCTGCTTGCCACTTTCTCTCCAGCTATCAGCCATCTTAGAGTTCCAAACATTTTTCTGTCAAGGCGTAACAAAGTGTTGAGGCTGTTAGTTTCATGACCTCGATCTTTTTCACAGTTCTACCCAAGCACAGCGCCGCCCCTCAGGGTGGATAAGGAAAGCAAATCCACATAGGGCTTTGTTGGATATTTTCCATACAGTCTGCTGCTCAGAGACAATCAGACCCTGATGTGTCCGACTGATGAGGTCTTTCTGTAAGACCCTGGTTTCCCTGCGCTATCAGGCCTTTCCATCATTCATTGGTGGGACTCATGTTTAGGGGGTTTCACATCAGTGGAATATAAAGCCATCTCCAGCATTGACAAGCATTTTTGACATCCAGCTTCGCTCTGTTGCACATTTATATAAGCTGGTAATAACATAAGCTGGGTTTGATGCATCAGTCAACCTTTTCCAACTTGTCAAAAGTTGAAGAGGAGTTGAAGAGGATCTAAAGATGCTATTTTGCTACACTATTTTCTTTTTCTTTTTTTGTGTCTCAGTAAATTCTGAGTTTAAATAAAGGTGAAGTTAATGGGAGGTTAGTGGGAGGAACAAACCCTGAGGACAGAATGTTTACAGTTATATAATATAATGGTCCTGTCCACTGGTCTTCCATCACATTGGATGTCCAATCAATTCCTGAGGGCAAAGAATGAAAGGTTCTTTGGAGGATTTGTCCAGACAGTGATAACTGTACAACTGGGGGCTCAAACTGAATCAAATGGGGATTAAGAGTGAAGTATAAGAAATTGATTATCAATATGCTGATGGCAAATTTGTCAGCCAGGATCCAAAAAGCACAATTCCATGAGTCAGATAACATACTGTAAATGAATGAAAACACCTAGATCCCCATTGATCCAACAGTAAAGAGGAATGTGTGCCTCTTCCGGCTGAACACTCACCGTGGTGTATTTGCCAAGCTGGCAGAGGGAGGGGAAGGTTTCTTGATGGGCCTTACGGATCTTCTCAATGATGGTCTCCAGCTCCACTGTCAGTTCGTAGCTCTCTGCCAGTTCTGGCTTTGGACTTTCCTTCTTCTTCTTATTCCGGTCGTTCCGAACAGCTGGAGGAGAACAAATCACATCTTTCAGGTTAATCCTGAGACTTTTATATTGAGTTTAAGAAGTGGAGACAGTAAAACGTCTCCCGAGAGAATAATCTCAAGGTCAAGCACATCCAACATGTGGTGTGAATAGAACTCCAATAGAGGGAGTTTCGGGATGTTTTCACATCTGATGGTCCAGTAGACTTGGTTCCATTGGGGACCAAAATTACAATATTTCTCACATTTTCACCTGTTGCAGTTCACTTTCATGCTGCACTGTGTTGAATCAACCAAACCCTTGGAAAAACCTATTCTTGGTGGCACTGCACCAAGAACCACAGAAGGAAATGACACAAAAGCCACAGAAGAAGAAGCTGAGCACTGTGTAGGCAAAGATGGAAACAGATATTGTTTGCAAGGTAGATTCCCAAGCTGACATCCGTGATGCTCACTTTATATTTGAGATGTATTGTGTCACTAACATGTCAGAAATTTTGAAAGATATCATAATAACAATAATTTAATAAAAAAAATTACAATCAAGGCTGAGTTCACACTGTAGCCTGTAGTGACCCAATTCTGATTTTTATTTATTTATTTTTCCGTAATGCGACCTGTATCTGATCTTTTCATGACAATCTAAATAAAGCAAGTCAAATTTTTTTTAGTGCAACACCATACTGCAATTACTAAAACTCTTGTATCTTTGCCCAAAGTTCAAGTGAAATAACTCAACAAGCGTGTCACCTTCAATGTATCTGTATATACACAAAATGTCTTAATATTACCAAGCTGACATTATGTAAAAAACATTGCTGTAAAATCCCAGATAACCATGGGCAGGCTCTCTGTTGTACATTGATGCAGAAGGAGCTCCAAACGTGTCTGTTCAGTTCATGGAGTTGGGTGCTTAATTAGATGCAGATCTTTGAAGTCAGACACAGCAGGAGATTACCTGGTTTTATTACTCAACACAGCATAATCATCATGATCAGCAGCCGTCTGCACTTTTGGAATCCTAACAAGGGGAGCTGGAGACAATGATTGAGCCAGGCCTTTTGTCAAGTCCTCACCCATGGGACCTTTCTAGTCTGATGAGACAAAAGTCAAATGTTATGCCCTAGTTTACAATAAAGACCATCTGTGTTTATTGTTTATACTGTAGTAACTCAGTGTTTCAGCTGTTTCGCAGTTTTCTGGAAGTTTGTTCCATATTTGCGGTGCGTAGAAGCTGAATGCTGGTTCTCCATGTTTGGTTCTGATGCAAAGCAGAACCAGAACCAGAACCAGAACTAGAAGACCTGAGAACACTGGAAGGTTATTATCTGCATAGTTATGGTAGCTAATCTTATTTTCTTTTATAACCTGAGCCAGTGGGATCATATAGATAGTAAGAGGGGTCCTAGGATTAAACCTCGGATCTCATGTAAAGTCTGTCTGCTTTGATGAGAAGTTTCCTATTGAAACAAAGAAATCCCTGTTCTTTATGTAAGATTGAAACCAGTTGAACTCCAGTCATTTCAGTAATATGTCATGGTCAACACTGAGGTCCAACAGAACCAGAACTGTGGTTAGTCCAGTCTGTGTTCATATGAATGTCATTGAACACTTTGACAGGGCAGCCTCAGTACTGACATCAAAGCATTTGGTCATTGTTAGGCAGTGAATCTTTTTCTGTAATTTTAATGATGAATGGAAGATTGGAGATCAGCCTGTACTTCTGTAATAGAGATGCTTGCAGACTTTTTTTTTCCAGTAGTGATTTAATATCATTTTAAATCCAGGGGGAAAATACAATATTAAATTAATGACTTTATTATTTGAGTCACATCATATTCAGTAATGCAGTTGTCTGCACAATATCAAGATATTGAAGGAGGAGGAGCTTCATTTCTTCTAAGCTTATATGCCTTCGAAGAATTCAGTCATTTTCTTCATCTTTCGACTGGATCTAGCATCGGTTCTGGATAGATGGAAATGAAACACAATTTTTTGGTTGTTTTGTTTTTATTTTCTGTGATAAATCTAACACTTAAAGATTTCCATGACAAAGTCAGAAACAGTGATCTCCACTGCTTTCCTCTAGACCCAGTACATTGTGTTAAAAAGCAATATATTTTCATGGCTTCTTGTTTAATGCATCATTTGGATGTATCTGCTCATGCTGCCAGTAATTTGCTTGAAGTGCAGAGGTAATTGATTTCCTCAGCTGGGGATGAGATGTATTTACCAAACTGCTGTCTTTCTAAATCACATCTCATGGCTCGTTAGCTTGTGTTAACACCACAACCCTCCAGTCAGCCACATTTCGTCTCTACTCTGTAACACCCAGACACTTCCATACACAGACTGTGTAACATCCTGATTTTTGCATTATTCTGTCCTATTCGTGCAGGGCATGCATGTTGGTTTGAGGATGGTTTGAGGATGTCCCGCCGTAAGGGCACTTTCAACATGCAAGTAATATAAGAGTAAAAAAATATTCATTTCAGTGAGACAGACTAAATAATCCAAGTTACATGTTTCTAGAGGTCAAAAGTATTGTGTAGTTACAGTGGTAAGGCAAAACCTGACATCTACCATCTCAAAACAACTACAATCCAAGAGTACAGCAAAAGTTAAACATTGAAACTACATTTAAATTAGATTATTTTCCATTGTAGATAATATAAAGACTACTTTAGCCTACTTGTTTTTCAGTTTTTCTTCACATCATTACACATTTAAAAGATTTTCTTCTCTGAGAAGAAACACTTATTTGTTCATAGAGTTTGTGCAGTGATTTTCTTCTGCAGTTTAAATCCCTCTACTGCCTTCTCTGACTTCATTCAGTGGTAGCAGCTTTTCTCTACAGACAAGCTGTGACAGAGACCCCCAACTCTGCTGTTCTAATCAACATACCCATCCCTTAGCCCACAGTGACACCATAAACCCACATGGCAGCTGAGCTCAACATTCAGTCGTCTCATTACATGAAATAATCATAGCTAGGTACAGACCGAGAAATATGTTTCAAATCAATTAGAACATCAGTTATCTAAGATATTTTTTAAGTAAAAATTTAAAATTTGTTATTCAGGTTTGTTCAAATTTTACCTTTGTATTTAAACAATTGCAAAGTGGTTCTGGGGGGGTGTTCTGCCCCAAGTGGAGGAGTTTAAGTATCTCAGAATCTTGTTCACAAATGAGGGAATTGGTGCAGCGTCTGTAGTGAAGCTGGCGCTGTACCAGTCTGTCATGGTGAAAACAGAGCTGAGTCAACAAGTTAAGCTCTCGATTTACTGATCGAGCTACATTCCTATCCTCATTTATGGTCATGAGCTTTGGGTCATGACCGAAAGAACAAGATCGCGGATACAAGCGGCCAAAATGAGTTTTCTCTGTAGGGTGTCTAGGCTCTCTCTTAGAGTTAGGGTGAGAAGCTTAGTGATTAGGGAGGGACTCAGAGTAGAGCCGGTGGTCCTTCACATCAAGAAGGATGTTTTCCAGGGCTCCTTGTTCCAGGAGGAGTCTCAAAGGAGGACTCCGGGAGAGAGCCCTCCTTACTTAGGCTGCTACCCCTGCAATCCGATTCTGTATAAGCCGGAGAAGATGGATGGATGGAAGGATGAAACATAGCATAATAGGAAGGGAAAAGGAAAAGAAAATGTGTTTGCTTGGATATTGATCCAAGCAAAGAAATGTTACAGCATTTCTTGGCAAGTCTGTTTGTTCCCCTTAAATAGTTACAAGTTTTTGTTTTAAAGAGGATCCAAAGCAGAGACAAGGATGACACAACCATGGAGAACATTAGAGTTCAATATCAGAACTCAAGAGATAGGAACAGACTGGTAACAGCAGGATGAGGAGTAAAATAACCAAACTAGTGAGTTTAATTTCTGAACATATGAGTTTAATGAACAGATAAGGAACAACATGAAGAGATGAAACTAAAACACTGGAGAAAGTGCTTATAAACCACCCTCTAAAAATAAACCTCAAATTAGATGGAATTAGGAAACTAAACTCAAAGTACAACATAATATCTCATTACCATAATAAACAATATATACAATGAACAAAAGAAATTATGATACAGAAACATAAGAAATGTGCAAATCAGAAACAATAAAACTTGAAGTGAGTCAAGACCGCAACCAAACTCAGAAAGAACAGAGACAGTAAAAGAACAGTAAAAGTGGAATTAAAGACTGCAGCACAGAGAAGGATATTAAAACAAGGCTTACATTTAGCTCATAATAACTAGATCCCTGATTAATCTTAATCTGAATTCCAATTTATTAATTCCAGAAGAGAGTGTTGAAAAGATATGCAAACCACACTGTTAATAATATAAGTAAAAAAATATTAAAGCCATGAGAAATTGACATATTGGATGTTGAAGTGTAGGAATATGTGTGTAGTTATGTATGTACAGAATATTTCACATTAGTGAGAAAATTTGATCCTAAAGGCCACAGAAGGACTTTTGGCAGTGAAGTTCTATCTCTGCCAATGCAGTTCTCCACTTCACTTTGTCGTTGTAGAAAATACAACAAAGATATTTTTTTAAATGTAGAAAATATCTAACTCTGTTAAGATTACTTTGGATACTGGAAATCCTTTTTTCAGAACTTTTCTCAGGAAACAGTTTTTTTTCTATTGCATTTCCTGCAGTAAAACAAACACACTATGTTTAACACAAGACTATAGTGCTACTATACTATAGTAGTATAGGGAGAGAGCTGAGCTTTTTGAATTGGTTGAATTTTTTCAACAATATAAGTCAGTCATGTCAGATATAATTACACTAATATGACTAGATGGGCGGTGTGGGGGTAAGGAATTTGAAATAGTTTATAAAATAAAAACAACAGAATCCTTCCGGATGACTATTTTTTTTTTTTTTTTTACTTTTAAGAAACTCGAAACTGCTGCTGCTGCACTGTCTGTTTTGCATTCCCTTAATCTTTAGCTTCCTCCTCATATCTCCATCAGGTGAACATCAGGACTCTGCCTGAGCTGCTCCAAGATGTTAG